CTTAAAAAAATAAACTTAATTTTAAATTAAATTTTTAAAAAGCATGTCATTGGTGACAAACTTGACTTACATGCCTTTCAGTTAGAAAAGAAAGATCTACTTTTATCTAACCCAAATTCTTGATCATTAAAGATCAAATTCCTTCAAATTCTTTTCTAAACTTTACTCAAATCCAAGGCAAAAGTAATGCAACCATAAATAAATGCATGGCTTTTAAACTCAAGAAACTATTTCATTACTATCTTCATTTTTTTGCTAGTGGGCACTTGCACTCACCAGAGAGAGAGACAGAGAATGAGGGAAAAGAGAAAGCATCCCCTGTGGAAGAAAGGTCACACCACAGTCCATTGCTCCCTCTTTTCAGGATTTTGGGCAAGCATGCACACATGCCTATCATGTTTCTGAAGCTATCTGGTCCGGTACTCAAACTAGTCATCCCAACCATTTTACATTTTTATGTTTAAGTATTTCTAAACCACAAACCATGCAGTCGGCCCTCATCACCTATCTTGATTACTATGTTTCTGTTTAGACCATGAAAAATGCCTTTCAAAAATAAAATAAAAAGCCTTACACACAACATGAAGTGAACTACAACTGAATGAGGGCAACACAAACAAGCCCATACTTCAACATAAAATACACACAAATTGTTATTATGCCAGGCTTTTAGACTATTGAAAGTCAAGAATTTTGGAAGGAGAAAGAAGAGAACAATCTTCATAATCCAAGAGATTAAGTTGAGGTTTTTTTTTTTTCTTTTTTTGCAATAGGGCCAATATTTTTTTAAAGAATTTTTATTTTATTTGTTATTATTATTAATTTGACCACAAAAAGAGAGAAAGGGAAAGTGAGAAAGCAAGCTGCCAGCTCCGGGATTCAAACAGTGATTGACCATGTAGGATTCCAGCACCTTAACCACTGCACCACCTGCTGACCCAATATATTCTTAACATCAATTTTCTTCCACCACAATTTCCACCCCCATCCCACTGCCACCCAATTTCTTAACGGAAAAAAAATCTAGAGCAGCAGATCAGAATCAAAATTCTCTTATAGGAAAGCACTTCTTTTTTAAAAAGTGAAAGAGCAGGTGGTGTGGTGGTTAAGACACTGTACTCTCACATGGCCAATGGCAGTCTGAGTCCCGAACCTGCAGGCCTGGCTTGCTTTCTCACTTTCCCTTTCTCTCTTTTTGTCTCTCTCTGGTCAAATTAAAAAATGATAATAACAAATAAAATTAAATAAATAAATAATTATTTTTTAAAATGAAAAAGCAAATTTACCATAGAACATGCCTGAGGAAATATCTTTCAAAAATATAAATCATATATAGATGATTCCTATAACTTAACCTAAACTATTACATAAATAATACATAAATTTTGGAATGCCATGAGATATTACCACTGTATACAAGGCATTTGCCTTTAAAATATAAAAAAGTGCCTTCCAGAAGTGAAATTGAGGTTAATAGCCTCATTCAAATCCAAATTTATCTACTGGCTTTTGCAACATAATCCAGCCAAAAGAATGTGATTTATATCTCAACTATGCAACAGCTAAATTTTCAATGTGTTTTGAAGTAGGTGCCACCAAAGGAAAAAAGTTATAGTCATAACATCGGCATTAAAACACTCGAAGCAATTTGAGAGTCTTTAAAAATATAAGCACTAAGTAATACAGATTCTTTGAAGAACTATAGAACATTCATATGAGCAAAAAGAGAAAACTAGTCTCAAAAAAGCCAAGGTGATCACTATTAATGTTTTAGTGTTTCTTAATTTTATTGATTGATTGATTGATTGATTTTTTGCTATAGGATGAGTGAAGAGCCAGAAAGAGAGAGAAAGGAAGTGAGAAAGCAACCCCCAAGGGGAATGGCCAAGTCACAGTTCCTTCTCCTCCATTCCCCTCTCAGGATTTGGAGCATGTACGGTACATGTGCCTGGTGTGTTTTTCAAACTGCTGGGTCCGTAACTGTGCAGTAGTCACCCATGTGGGATCCAGCCACCTTAACCACCACACCACCTGCTGGGCCATTTCATCAATTAAAAAATAAAAATACTTTTCACATTAGTAGCTTTACATAACACAGATGTTTTTATTTAACAATTTATTGAGGATATAGTTCTATTAGCAGCCTGGCAAAGTCATGATGTATTTTTCTATGTTTTCTATGCAAAAATGCATCATGACTTTCCCGATAACCTAGTATGTACAGGCACATACATACACACATACATTTGGTTTTTATGAGTGTATAATTTGCTACTTCATGAATATAGCTAATTTAATTTTTTTAAGAATTATTTATTTGATTTGGGATCAGCAGATGGTATAACGGTTGCGTTGTTGGACTCCCACATAGTCGACCACAATTTGAGTCCCAGACCTGATGGCTTGAAATTTGCACCAGGCATATATGTGTGCACGCCCAAGATCCCAAGAGGAGAATGGAGAAGGGATTGAGGCATGCCCATCCCCCTGGGAGGTGATTTCTCGCTTTCTGTCTTTCTGTCTCTCTGGCAAGCACACATACCCTACAGCCAAAAAAAAAAAAAAAGTTCTTTTACTTTAGTTATTATTATTTTTGCTTCTTAGAAAGATTTTTGCTATAGGGCATGTATGCTCATCCGAGAGACAGAAAGACAAGAGACACAGAAAGAGAAAGAAAGCAAGAAATCACCCTCAAGGGGTGATGGCTATGCCACAATCCCTTCTTCTCCATTCTCTTCTTTGGAATTTGGGCACACATGCACCTGTGTCCAGCATGAGTCTCAAGCCACCAGGCCCAGGACTCAAACCATGGTCAACCACATGGGAGTTCAGTGCCTTAACCACTATGCCACCGACTGCCCCCTACTGTAATTTTAACATTTAATTTAATCACTGGTAAGATTCTCTAGGATCTGTTCAGATGTAATACAGTAAAGAAAGAGTAAGTTTAAATACTTGTTTGACTGAGATGCTCATTTTTGAATCACATATTAACAATCATAGAACTTGCAATTCTCCCAAAATACTTAGGGTAATAATGATGTAATCAGCCCTCAATATTGGATCTTTATGATATTTACATTTTGTTCTGCTATAAATGATATGATGATGAACTTCTTGAATGTTCATTTTTATGTGCTGCCTTGAGGAAAATTCTAGAAATAGAATTACTTGGCCAATTAATATGCACTTGTTAAAAATAGGTTATAATTTTTACCAGCCTTTTTAAATGATTATTTTAAATTTAAAAAATAGTTTGGAAGTTTATGTTCTCATCATATATATCCAGTATTTTAAAACTTATATAAATACTCTTTTGTGGACATGGCTGAAGTATAAGTTTAAATATCAAAGGCCTTAACACCATGGAAAACTATTTAAGGGTTCAGTCACTGTGGAGTAATGGTGTCACTTTGCTGAGGGATAGAGAGTTCAGCTCTCCAGGTGGGCTTGAAAACCTGCATGCAGGTTCCCAAGATACTGAGGCATTGCAGGGCTGGAAAAAGGGGATCACAGCATGAGGAGACGTTCATACTTCTCTCTCTCTCTCTCTCTCTCTCTCTCTCTCTCTCTCTCTCTCTCTCTCTCTTCCCCTCCCTCCCTCCCTCCTCCCCCCTCATGCATCAACACTCTCTAACATTAGAAAGAAAACTATTTAATAATATGCCTCTTCACAATTTATAGACTGTGACAAGTATGGAAACATTAAATTGTCTTTCTTCCATTTTCCTGTTACAACCGTCTGAATATACATTCTCTACAGAAGACAGTAATAATTCCTTGCATTCATACAGTACTTCATACTATTAAAACATTTAAAAGAATTTTAAAGAAGCAGACTACCCTCCAAGCATACTTTAAGGCTATTAAGTTGAAACTCCAAAAGAGTCTACAAACTACACAACAGTTACCACGTATTTAGAGCCCAGTCTATAACAACTACAATCTTTACCAATCAACCAGCACCAGAATCACGAAGGGCTAGATCTGTCTGAAGACAGTTAATTAGATCATATTGTCAGCGCATATTTCTATAGTTTCAAATAATGTGAAGTAAGTTCTTAACATAATAAAAAGATGGGCAACACAACAAAAACAGCCTTCGGGTTCCTTTTCGGTTTTTAAAGTTACCCTAGATGTCATTTCATACCTCAAAGTAAGTCTTGAAGTTACTTAACTATAGTGTTCACACCAAGGGTGGAGTTCTGTGTAATTTTCAAAGCTCAAAAAGGCCCTGCCTACTCAAAAATATCTCCCCTTTAGACATCTTAGAATCAAGTCTGAAGCTTTATAAAAATACATAAATTTTTATTCAGTAGGTCTGGAGTCAAGTCAATGCATCTGCATTTTTTAAAACTCCCCAGTTGATTCATTCATACAGCTTAAGTCAAAAAGCACTCAGTTACAGAAAAAGATTAGGGGAAGGAATAGGATCCTGAGGTCCCCAATTTAAATGTTTCTATGAAAACCATTCCTCTGTTTTAACCTAGTTTATTAGATTATTTAGGCGAAAACTGAACTCGCAGAAGCTTCTTAAGACGTTTCAAAAAGAGGAGCAAAGATAGGTTTGTTAGCCTGGCCACGTCCCCAGTGGGGATGAGGGTGTGAACACATGGTAATGGAATCAAAATAAGAGAAGATTCTTCCTGCCAGACACAGCGGTGCTCCTACTTTAAGCATACAATCCCTTCCATTTCAAGAGAATGCTCAACTATATTTTTGTATTTTAATGGGGCAGTCGTATAAATGAACACTACTCAGCTACAAATAGCAATTGCACCAAGAAACGCCGGTCAACATACAATGAGACAAAACCAGGTTGCGAAGGTAAGTAGGACGCTCAGAGACATCATATTACCTTTTGCAAAATAAGAGTCATTTGTCAGAATTAAGTTTCTCAGAAAAAGTTTCTCCCACAAGAAGAATGCAACATAAGCCAAGACACTTCTAAACAGTGTATATATAAAAATCCACAGTTGTCTTCAGCTCCTGTTACCTACCAGATCTGGACTTAATGATATCACTGAATTCATTCTGTCCATCTTCAGGCCTGGCTTCGTGTTCTCCATACTTTGCCATGTTGGCTGAGTTTCAGAGTAATCCAAAGAGTCTATCCAATCCTTTTTTTTAAGACTTTCAACTTTCTATAATGATCCAGCTTGACACAAATATCTAAAAAAAAAAAAATTAAAAAAAGACAAAAGGTAAACTATTGATTTGAGATGTGTGTGTGTCAATTTAATATATAGAGTTATATATAGTAACCATTCATTCAGCAAATATTCACGGAGGGCCTATCATTTGTAAGGCACCAATCCAGGCAATAGGAATATGTGATCAATAAGAGATATAACTTCTGCCATTATGGAGCTTATAGACACTAAACAATTAATTACATAACAAATTATTTCATTACAGTACTGATAAACTACACATGTACAAAAGAGAAGCATAGAGTAATACCAGCATACAACAGAGGGATCTGACCTGCCCTGGACAATCTGAGAAGCCTTTCTTAATGAATGACATTGAAGCCAAGTCTTAGAGGATGAGAAGAATTCAATTAGCTAAAAGGGAAAATGGAAAGAGAAAAAGTAAGAGCTTCCTACGTGAAGTGACAGAAAGAATCATGGAGCATTCAAAGATCTGGACATAGGTCAGTATTTATGGAGGAAAGATGGCCAAGAAGCGAGTGTATCTACTGAACAAGGTGAGGTAGGTAGGTAGGCAAGAACAGAGACAGGGCCTCAGAGGCCATGTCAAATCTTTGGTCTTCATCTGACGAGCAATGGTGACCCAGTAGATGGTATTAAGCAGGGAAGTAACATAATCAGATAGGCTTTTGTTTAGAGATTTTTGCCATAGGGCACTGCGCTCGACAGAGAGACAGAAAGCAAGAAATCACTTCTCCGGGGATGGCCACTCTGCAGTCTCTTTTCCTCCATTCTCCTCTTGGGATTTTGGTCACATACACACATGTGCACAGCATGGTTTTCAAACCACCAGGTCCAGGATTCAAACTGTGGTCAGCCACATGGGAGTCCAGCACCATAGAGCACATGTGCTCACCAGCGTAAGACACAGAGATGGACAGTGAGAACTCACCCCCCAAGGGGGATAGCCATGCTGTAATCTCTTCTCCATTCTCCTCCTGGGATTTTGGATGCACAGGGACCCCACGTAATTTTCAAGCCACCAGATCTGGGGTTCAAACCAAGGCCAGCCATGTGGAAGTCTAGCATTATTTTTTCTTTAAGAAAGAGATTTTTGCTGTAGGACACATGCACTCACCAGAGAGACAGAGAGAAAGCAAGAAATCACCCCCCAAGGGGGATGGCCACACTGCAATGCCTTCTACTCCATTTTCCCCTCAGGCTCTTGGACACGTCCATACACACACACACACACACACACACACACACACACACACACACCCAGCATGAATTTAAGCCACCAGGTCCAGGACTTGAACCACAGTCAACTACGTGGGAGTCCAGTTATGTAACCATTATACCACCTGCTGGTTCCTAGCATCTTAACCATCACTTTACCTGCTGGCCCCAGACTGGCCTTTTATTCTGGCTTTTATGTGGGCCAGTATTTTGTGCTACGCAACAAAGACTGAGGCAGGACACAGCAAAATGCTAAGTAATAAAACTAGGCTATGTGTTTCATTTAAAGTTCTTTTAACTCCTCTGTTCATTTGAAATTTCTCATAATATACTGGGGAAACAGTCCTAACATTAACCAAGTGATCAAACTTTTCGTAACCAATATGATGCAATGCAAAATACTACCTCACCTAAACAGCACCTGTGCCAAAATGTTTAATGCAAAGCTAATCACGGGCAAACAAATTCAGACTGTGGGTACTCTTCAAAACAAATGGTTTGGGCTTTTCAAAACCACCAAGGTTATGAAATCGAAAAATTACCTGAAATAGGAAGAATTTTGTGAATTAAAGGTGATTAAATAAACATGACAGGGACCAGCAGTTGGTGTAATGGCTATGTCGCTGGACTCCCATGTAGTCGACTATGGTTCGAGTCCCAAACCCAGAGGCTTAAACTCTCGCCAGGCGTGTGTACATGTGAGCCTAAGATTCTGAGAGGAGAATGGAGGAGAAGGGATTGCGGCATGGCCATCCCTCCTGGGGGGTGATTTCTTGCTTTCTGTCTCTGTCTCTGTCTTTCTGGCGAGTGCACGTGCCCTATAACAAAAAACTCTCAAAAAATAAAATAAAATAGACACGAGGATCAAACATAATCCTTAACTGAATTCAGAGTTTTAAAGTAAAACATTTAGAAGATCATTTGAAAGTCTGAATCTGAATCATGTAGTAGACACTAGTACCATTTTTAAGTTTCTTTAACATTATTAGTTAATGGTATTGTTATTCAGGAGACTGTGTGATTCTGAGACACATAATGACATACTTAGCAATAAAGTGTGATAATGTCTTTACCTTACATTCAAACAAAGCAGCAAATATGAGAGGATTTAAAAAGTTTATGGCGGGGCCAGCAGGTGACATCGTAGTTGGAGCACTGGACTCCAACATGGTTGACTGTGGTTCGAGTCCCGACGTAGCAGTTTGCTTTCTCACTTTCCCTCTGTCTCTCTCTGTCTCTTTGTGGTCAAATTTTAAAAATAAATTAATTAAATTTAAAAAATAATTGTTTTCTTAAAAAGTTCATGGCAAAATAGATTTAAAATATGAGTTTATTTTGGTGTAAAAAAACCACGACATTCATGCATAGTTTTTTCATAATACACATTTTCTGTATTGTGAAAGACCCCTTCATCCCCATCTATATTATATGTATATTGGTATGTGTGTATATTAAATATGCATACATATGCACACAGAGAGACAGGAAGAAAAATATGAAATAAATATTAGAAAGTAAATAGAGAATCTAAAGGGCACCTAAGTACTGTAATACTACAGACAGTAAATGACTGTGTCCTGAACAAAGATAGATCCAAAGAAAAGGGGAGATAAGTGGGACACTTGGATTTTAAATACATATGAACACAAAAATTACAAATATGTATCTAAAAATTCTCTATATATTACATATATATGTCAACACAAAAATTTATGTGTTGAGATTTAGTCATGAAAAGATTAAGAGGAAAGTTAATACTTCTATCGTGTCAAAGGCGGGGCCTTTGGGAATATTTCATTACAGTACTGATAAACTACACATGTACAAAAGAGAAGCATAGAGTAATACCAGCATACAACAGAGGGATCTGACCTGCCCTGGACAATCTGAGAAGCCTTTCTTAATGAATGACATTGAAGCCAAGTCTTAGAGGATGAGAAGAATTCAATTAGCTAAAAGGGAAAATGGAAAGAGAAAAAGTAAGAGCTTCCTACGTGAAGTGACAGAAAGAATCATGGAGCATTCAAAGATCTGGACATAGGTCAGTATTTATGGAGGAAAGATGGCCAAGAAGCGAGTGTATCTACTGAACAAGGTGAGGTAGGTAGGTAGGCAAGAACAGAGACAGGGCCTCAGAGGCCATGTCAAATCTTTGGTCTTCATCTGACGAGCAATGGTGACCCAGTAGATGGTATTAAGCAGGGAAGTAACATAATCAGATAGGCTTTTGTTTAGAGATTTTTGCCATAGGGCACTGCGCTCGACAGAGAGACAGAAAGCAAGAAATCACTTCTCCGGGGATGGCCACTCTGCAGTCTCTTTTCCTCCATTCTCCTCTTGGGATTTTGGTCACATACACACATGTGCACAGCATGGTTTTCAAACCACCAGGTCCAGGATTCAAACTGTGGTCAGCCACATGGGAGTCCAGCACCATAGAGCACATGTGCTCACCAGCGTAAGACACAGAGAGGGACAGTGAGAACTCACCCCCCAAGGGGGATAGCCATGCTGTAATCTCTTCTCCATTCTTCTCCTGGGATTTTGGATGCACAGGGACCCCACGTAATTTTCAAGCCACCAGATCTGGGGTTCAAACCAAGGCCAGCCATGTGGAAGTCTAGCATTATTTTTTCTTTAAGAAAGAGATTTTTGCTGTAGGACACATGCACTCACCAGAGAGACAGAGAGAAAGCAAGAAATCACCCCCCAAGGGGGATGGCCACACTGCAATGCCTTCTACTCCATTTTCCCCTCAGGCTCTTGGACACGTCCATACACACACACACACACCCAGCATGAATTTAAGCCACCAGGTCCAGGACTTGAACCACAGTCAACTACGTGGGAGTCCAGTTATGTAACCATTATACCACCTGCTGGTTCCTAGCATCTTAACCATCACTTTACCTGCTGGCCCCAGACTGGCCTTTTATTCTGGCTTTTATGTGGGCCAGTATTTTGTGCTACGCAACAAAGACTGAGGCAGGACACAGCAAAATGCTAAGTAATAAAACTAGGCTATGTGTTTCATTTAAAGTTCTTTTAACTCCTCTGTTCATTTGAAATTTCTCATAATATACTGGGGAAACAGTCCTAACATTAACCAAGTGATCAAACTTTTCGTAACCAATATGATGCAATGCAAAATACTACCTCACCTAAACAGCACCTGTGCCAAAATGTTTAATGCAAAGCTAATCACGGGCAAACAAATTCAGACTGTGGGTACTCTTCAAAACAAATGGTTTGGGCTTTTCAAAACCACCAAGGTTATGAAATCGAAAAATTACCTGAAATAGGAAGAATTTTGTGAATTAAAGGTGATTAAATAAACATGACAGGGACCAGCAGTTGGTGTAATGGCTATGTCGCTGGACTCCCATGTAGTCGACTATGGTTCGAGTCCCAAACCCAGAGGCTTAAACTCTCGCCAGGCGTGTGTACATGTGAGCCTAAGATTCTGAGAGGAGAATGGAGGAGAAGGGATTGCGGCATGGCCATCCCTCCTGGGGGGTGATTTCTTGCTTTCTGTCTCTGTCTCTGTCTTTCTGGCGAGTGCACGTGCCCTATAACAAAAAACTCTCAAAAAATAAAATAAAATAGACACGAGGATCAAACATAATCCTTAACTGAATTCAGAGTTTTAAAGTAAAACATTTAGAAGATCATTTGAAAGTCTGAATCTGAATCATGTAGTAGACACTAGTACCATTTTTAAGTTTCTTTAACATTATTAGTTAATGGTATTGTTATTCAGGAGACTGTGTGATTCTGAGA